CTTTCACGATGTATACTTTTAAATATACAAATTAAATAAAGAAATGATGTTTACCTACCGGAAAAAAAAAAAAAAAATTATTATATCTATTTTTGTATAATAATAAATTTAAGATATGCAATAATTTTATCCATATAGTATATATATATTAATACTATATTATTAAATTTATGTTATAAAAAAATATTAAGTTAAAATATATTATATAATAAAAATATTATTATATTTTATTAACTTATTATTAAAAAATTTTAAACTTATTATAATAATGTATAACTTTTAATTTTTATTCAAACTTAAAATGTATAATAATATAAAAACTCTCTTTAAATACAGTATATCTCTAAATACATATTATGGTTTTCTCTTTAAATGTACAATCAAGCTTGATCTCAAGTATATAGAACTTTTAATAAAATTTTTTTTTCAAATGCATATCCTCTGAATGTATATTATTGAAATTTGTATAAAGTAAGAATTTATTATTTTTAAAATTTTTTAATATAATTCTTTTATTTTAAAACATAATAAAATTTATTTTTTAAAAAATAATTAAATAATTAATTCAATTTATAAAAATTAATTCTTCAAAGTTAATGATGATTATTAATATAAATAAACCGATTAAATTAAACAAAGTTATATTAGTTCTATAAAATATAAAACAAAGATATTTTTACTGGTCGCTTGAGAACTTCAGCAAGCCATGATACCAAGACTCGATCAAAATTGGGTAGATTATTGAGTTATTCGAATAAATCTGCATTATTAAAAAAAGACTTAATAATATTGCATTCATTTTACTATTCCATGTTAATTGTAATAACAAAATTATCTATACATTGAATATTATGCAAAATTAATTGTCGACTTCCAAATCACTAGCTGCAATTAATCTCTTGCTCGGCATCTTTAAAGCATAAGAACGATATGGTACTGAAACAGTGTTTCACTGGGCAATATTGATGGTTTCATTTTTCACTTTTATTTTTTTTCATCTGATAATAAACTGGTAATCCCATGGCTGCTATTACGGTAAAACCTTGTGCGATTACACGGTACCTCATAAATTTTTGCATAGTTGCCGAATCTCCACGCTGATATCCTATCGTGGAACCAACCAATGCAAAAACTGTCAGAAATATGCCTAAATATCATTCGTTAAAAAATTTTTTTGATAGCAAAGACGTCAGATTTTTAACTTGTAATTAAAGAAGAGCGAAAAATTAAATTAATAAATTCAACTAACCAAGCGGGACCAAGGGTTCTGCTTTTATTCTTTGAATGAAACGATTGGGTTTTCTCTCCTGTAAACCAGGATTAGGGGTGTCTTCGTTTGAAATCGACATAACTATAATGAAAAAATACGGTATGCAACTTCGATAGTCGAAAAATACTCACGCATATTTATGTTTGTGTTACGTGTTACATAATATATCAATTTTTAACTATATTAGAATATTGTAATTAAAAAAGGTAGCAATTTAAAAAGTCTAATTTTATGTTAATTAGCAAAAAAAATATTGTATATTAATTACGTAATTATAGATTTATAAAGATAACAATATTATTATTTTTTATTAAAAAAATTCTTTTAGATAATTTATAATTTAATATTAAATTATATATTTTTTAAAATTTTAATTATTTTTTAATTACGTATTTTTTTTAATTTTTAATTAAATTAAAATTACTTATTTATCAAATTAAATCAAATTAATACAATAACATTAGTAAATTTAATTAAATAGAAAATATCAAAAATTTTTAAATTAAAGTACTTCAAAAAATTATGTTTTTTTTATAGATTTTTAAAATAAAAAATTATTTATTTTTTTTAAATAATATATAAAAAAATCAAAAATTATTAATTATTTTTTTAAATTTTATTTTAAAATATATTAAAAATTAGTAAAAGTTTTTAAAAATAATTTTTAAATAAAAATAATTATTATATTATTTAAATTTATTATTAAAAAAATCAATAGCAACAAGCTGATATGGAGTCAAATCGATATAGCAAAACATATACTTAGAATAGTTTATAGATAGTAAGTCTTATAATAAGAAGTACAAAAGGTTACACATAATTAAGTCGATTTTTGTAAATCTTTTATTACTCGATTTTTTTTCAGTTTATTTATTATCCTTATAAAAAACTTACCAATAAGTTGCAAATCCTTTTTTTTAAATAAATTCTTTGATACATTCAGGCATAGTATCTATAAATTCAATAATTTTTTCAGCTGGAATATTATTCCATCCTATAGTAATTATCTCTTCTAATTTGATTTCAGTTCGTGGTTTCCTATTTTTGTAAATTCAACACTTGACTTTTTGCCATACATTTTCGATTGGACTGAGGTCAGGAGACTGCGAAAGTCATTCCATAGTCTCAATTTCAAGCTTAGATTTAAGCTCCTTTATGACTTTACTCTTATATATGGGTACATTATTCTCCTGAAGTATCGTTATATCAGAAACCATAATTATTGAATAAATAATTTCAAAAATGATATTTACATATTCTTTGCCATTCATATATAATGTAGCATAAAGTAAATGACATAAACCAGATATCAAAAAAGAAAATTTTTTATGAATTGAAAAGTTGTGCCATTTATACATCCCCAGACTATTATGAATTTGCGATTACTTTTAACAATTGCTTGAGTACAAGATGGATCATATAATTTATATTTATAGCACCAAATACGAATCTTTTCATTTGAATTCATACTAATAGAGGATTCATCGGTCTATAAGATACGTTGCCAATCTTCTTTAGATCAATTTTTATGAGCTTTGGCCCATTTTAATCATTTAATACAATTAGTTTCACTAATAATTAGTTTTTTTCTTGCAATATAAGAATATATACTATTTCTATTTAAAACTCTTTTTAAAGTAATTGGAGATATAGGCTTAGTTAAGACTTCAGTGGCAAGTAGTTGTTTTGGCATTTTCCAGATTTCTGGATTTGATTTTATCTTTTATAAAATTAAATATTTGAAACATTGATTCACAAGTGATTTTTGACTTTTATTTATTTTTCTTAAATAATCTGAATTCTTGGTTGATTTTAGACATCTAATACAATTCTTAACGCAATTGTCTGATCTTCTGAGAATTCTTGCAATTTTGGCTGCTGACATGTCTTCTTCTTTAAGCCTTTCTATAATAGAGCATTCAGAATCTGTTAAATTATTTTTGCGACCTATTAAAGTATACAAAAAAATTTCTGAATTTTTTATTCTTTAAATAATAAATTAAATAAAAGACAAATGTCTTTTGTTAACATGAAGTAACAAGCAGGAGTAATTTTAAAACTAATAATCAATCACCAAAATCTTTGTGATATAAAATTTGCAAGAATCAACCTAATTATATGTAACCCCTCTGTATATATGTAAACTAAATAAAGTATGTTGGGCAAGACCTCGCTAGTTAAAAAAAAAAAAATTATTATTATTAAAAAACTTTAATAAAAAATTTTATTATTTTGTAATTTTTCTTATAAAAAATATTAATATTAAATTTTTTAAAATTTTTTATTAAATTTTTTTAATTTATATATTAATATTATATTATAAGAATAATATATTTTTTAGAAAATTTTTTTAAGTCAAATTTTTTTTAAAAAAATTTTTTTTTTTTTGTAAGTAAATATTGACATTTTATTAATTATAAAAAATTCAGATTTTTTATATAATGAAAATAACAATATCTCTTATATAACATATTGAGTTAACAAGTTTAATACTAGTTTACTTACATTAACCTACTATGTGATAAAGATAAATAAATATTAAAATCACTACATATTATAGAAGGTGCTGAGCAGCTATAAATATCTATTCAAAGTTATTAGTAATAAGTTAATTAAGATTAAAAATTAAATTTTTTAAACATGATAATGAATTGAAGTTACTATTTATAAATTTATTTATGATGATAGATGAAAGATCTATAACTATGTTTCTGGCTTTGAGTTGGAATTTAAGAATCGACTAGAATGACTATAAAACTTGGTTAAAAAGTTTTTGCAAAATTAATAGAGATCCTGATTCCATGTTATGCCTTTAAAAAGCAAAGTGTTTGTTAAATTGCAACTTTTTTTTTTTTAATAGGTAAATATCATTTCTTTATTTAATTTGTATATAACAAGATATATATCATGAAAGAAACAACATCTCTCATGTGTTGATACAATGAGTTAAATATTAACTTGTCTACAGTAACCATATAATTAATATTAAAAAGAAAATTTAAAACAATATATTTTGCTGGATGGTATCAAGCAACTATGAATATTTACTTAGTATTAGAAGAAATAAGAATAGAATTAGAATTATTAAAAAAAGTTGTTAGACTATAAATACATTTGGAATAGTTATATTTAGATTGGATAAATGAGTTAGCAATGGTGAAAAGTAGATCAATAATAGTATTATCTTGTGGATTATTAGAGATGTCTTTGGCCTGCGAGGTGTTTTTAGTTTCTGGATTAATGGAATTGGTTGAATTATGTGGCTTGGCATGATCTCACTTAATTTCAGTAAGGGGTGAGATATTGGCTGTGAAGCAACATGGTTTTCAAATTAGATTGTACAATAAAGTTAGAGATTCTATTACTGCTTTGATCCAGTTAGTAGAGGTTGAGATCGAAAAGATTTTGTCTATAACTTCAAATAACAATTCAACGACTTGCTATATATGTGAAATTGATTTATAATTATTGTCTAAATGGAGTTATATTGCAACTTTTTTAAAAATTTATATTATATATATATATAATAATAATAATAATAATAATTTTTTTTTTTTAATGTAATCAAGTACAACAAATACAATATTTTTATTAATAAATAAATACTATTCAAATTATATTTAAGAATTTATATAAATTAGTATTGTTATTAAAATTTTTAAAATTTTTATTAACTTTAGATAGATGCTATCATATATTATTAACATTTATTAATATTTATATAATGGTTTAAGTAAAGGAACATGTTGGTTATTAATAGTTTATTATTATTAAAGAAAAACTTTATTAATGGAGAGTGGAGCAGACAACTCTAAAGATAATTAAAGGA